CACAGACTCCCAGATACAACGACAGTGCTCCTGAACTTTAAAAGCAAAGCCCCCTTTCACTCCAGTGACCACAAGCACAGGCTGAACTGCAGCAAACACCAACAGACCCCTTCTTTTTTTCTTAACATGACTGTGTGTACAGCATCAATAAAACAGTCTCACTAAAATAAAAAAAGAGCCCTACAGTCCATCTACATAAAATAGTAAACTTAGAAACTTATTAGTTTTGCTCCAAATTTCTTTGTAAATATCGAATACCTATGAAGAGTAATATTTTCAATTCATTTTGCAGTTTTTTTTTAAGAAAGATTACCATTGTATAAAACCTTAGAAATAGCAAAAAATAAGTTGGATTTCAATTCTTTTTTCTTTAAATTACTTGCACTCCTTTCCGTGATTAGCTTCTCCCAAGGAGTCGCCATATTCCTCAATTTTTGTACCCTTCGGGGAAATGGTTCCTGAGATGGCGTGGCCTCTTTTGCTGTTTTCGGAATAATCGTAACGAAAGCAAGGCAGGTCGCGTTTTCTGCTCCCTCTGGGAAAGCCGGGCAATGTTCAGCGAAACGCTCGTGGTTGGAAAAACGGGAAACTTGTTCTCCCACCTGGTCCCGGTGAGACGCTGCTTCAGCCGAAATAGAGAGTCTCCGGTCAACAAGCTAGCCCGTTCTTTCAGACCGAGACCAGGCACTCACCGGCATTTTCTGTTCCAATTTACGGCTTTATCCATTTTATCCCCAATCTTCGCACCACCCACCCACCCCCCCTACAACTCCATCCCAAATCAACTCACGCCATGTATAAGTCTGTCAAATCGACTCATGAAAGAGCAAATCAGCCGGTCACCTTTATTTAAGGCATAGAGGCTCGTCTTCATTTCCTGCAGCCTTTGACGGGATGGAGCGGGTGGGGGAAATGCGGGGGGGTGGAAGGGGGAGTGGTGGGGGGTGGGGGAGAAAAGCAGCAGAGGCAATCCTAGATTCAGGAGTATCGTGGGTTGGGGGAGTGACACTTGGAATCCTGTTCCCTGGTGTTCCCCAGATAATGTTTTCACAAGCTACCCCTTCTCGAATTATCGCAGCCATGGGCCATTGCCCTGCAGCAAGGTGGTAAGCCGCCATCTTGAATCTACACAGGGCGAAGACGCTCGAGGAGGAGGAAAGGGGGGGGGGGGAGAGAGAGAGAGCGAGAGAGAGGGAGAGGTTCCAGGATTTCAATCCTAAGAAGCCATGATGAGAATGATCAGATCAACCACGGTCTCCCCGAATGGCGGAGCGGACCTGACGGGCTGAACGGCCATACTTCTGCTCCTACGTCTTTCGTCCACCGGGAGTGAAGGAGTTAGCGAGTCGGAGGGGAACCTCTGAAGCTTCTCTGGTGATCCAAATCGGTGGTTGTGCCATATTGAAGGAATGGGTTTTACTGCCAAGGCATGTGCGTGTCTCTCGTTAACGATGGAGGTGAGGAGAATATTTCCAATCACCCCGACAAAGAGGGCCTTTGGAACACCCTTTCATTCATGGAGCAGTGGAGGAATGGGACTTTATTTTTTAAGGCAGAGGTAGATAATGGAGTCGAAGGTAATCTGGGTCATTTTTTAAAATTCAGTCACAGGATGTGGGCATCTCTGGCCAGGCCAGCACTTATTGCCCATCCCTAATTGCCCAGATGGGACAGCTGAGAGTCTTCCAGGGTCTGGAGTCACATGTAGGCCAGCCCGGGCAAAGATGGTAGTTTCCTTCCCTAAAGGAGATTAGTGAACCAGATGGGTGTTTCTGACAATGGATCTGTGGGTCATCGTTAGACTCTTAATTCCAGATTTTTATTGAATTCAAACCGTGGTGGGATTTGAACCCAGGTCCCCTGAGCCTCTGGATTAACAGTCTCACGATAACACCACGTGGCTGGGATGTGTTGTCAAGGTCACAATTAAAGAAACAGGAGCAGGCCATTTGGTTATGTTGTTGGCTGATCATCCAACGCAATCTCCTGTTCCCCACTTCCTCCCCCATTCCCTTTGATAAGCCACAAGCTTAGCGACTGGCACGCTCAAGGAGCCAAATGACCTTTTCCTGCTCCCAATCACGACGTTTGTACGGTCTCAGGTTTGGTCTCCAGTCACACCTGGTTCTCTGAGCCGAGATGCCCCCTGCACCATTAGGTAACTGCCCCAGTTTCGGACTGAGGTAGACAGAGATGAGGAGGAATTCCTTCTCTCAGAGGGTAGTGGAATCTGTGGAATTCTTTATGGCAGAGGCTGGGCCATTAAGGATATTCAGGGCTGAGGTAGATTGCAAATCAGCGAGGGGATCAAAACAAGAAGACAGCATTGAGGAGGATCAGATCAGATACCACCTCATTGAGTGGTGGAGCAAGCCTGATGGGCTGAATGGCCTGCTCCTTTGGGCTTTTAGCCGTGCATCTTGTTCCAGGATACGTTACAGGAATGATGCAAGAACGTGATGTTCAAATGGAAGATTGGCTGCGATTCCATTGGCTGACGGAGCAGACTCGTTGGGCCGAATGGCTTACTTCAACTCCTGTGTTTTGTGGTCTAATATTTAATCCGAGCAGCTACATCGGAAAAGGCCAGGATTTGCGTGGGCCGTGAGGTTGACTCCTTCACATCCGCACGGTGCAGGCGGACAGAGAGAGACATACTAACCCCTGTGTCCCTCCACAAGCTTTCAGAAGTGAAGGGATTGCCTCACCGCATAGAGAGAGAGAGAGAGTTAAAACAGTCAATGTAGAAAGCAGGGGACAGTCAGCCCAGAGCTAAGAATGTAATGGCAGGACAGGCAGGTGTGTTCAAAATTATACAGGGTTTTGTTGGTACTAACTAAGAATTTGTTCCCACTGAGCACCCCAGACTGAATTTAGGCAATTGGCAAAGGAATCTATGAAAGTAACTTTTAAAACAACAAAGTTGCTTTGAGCCCAGAACCCAATGCACTGTAAGTGGAAGCAGATTTTTTTTTCCCCTTTATTCATTCTTGGGAGGAGGGTGTCGCTGGCTCGGCAGCATTTAATGTCAATCCCTAATTGCCCAGAGGGCAGTTCAGAGTCAACCACATTGCTGTGGGTCTGGAGTCACGTGCAGTTCCCTTCCCTAAAGGACATTAGTGAACCAGGTTGGTTTTTCCTGACAATTGGCAATGGATTCGCGGTCATCATTACATCCTTAATTCCAGATATTTTATTGAAGGATTCGAACCTGGGTCCCCAGAATGTTATCCGGGTCTCTGGATTAACAGTCCAGCGATAATACCACTAGGCTATTGCCTCCTCCTATCAGTTTAGAAGAATGAGAGGGAGAATCTTATTGAAACATATAAAATTATGAAGGGAGTAAATAAGATAGAAGCAGGGAAGTTGTTTCCACTGGAACTAGGGGGGCATGGCCTCAAAATAATGGGGAGCAGATTTCAGACTGAGTTGAGGAGGAACTTCTTCACCCAAAGGGTTGGGAATCTGTGGAATTCCCTGCTCAGTGAGGCTACCTTGTTGCGTGTTTTAAAGACAAAGACAGATTTTTGAACAGTAGAGGATTTAAGGGTTATGGTGAGCGGGCAGGTAAGTGGAGCTGAGTCCACGAAAAGATCAGCCACGATCTTATTGAATGATGGAGCAGGCGCGATGGCCTACCGCTGTTCCTATTGCTCACGTGGATTCAATGGGAACTTTCAAAAGGATAGTATATTGGGAAGGAAGACATTTACAAAGTCACGTGGAGGTCTTAGAGAACATGTCCTTGACCAGATTGCTGCTACAACGTAAGAGGTTTAGGACAGAGTGCAGGATGAACCGTGAGACAGATTAGCCTTAACTGGCATTTGGCAGACTGAGAGGTGGGAGTGCGGAAGATGCTTGCGAGGACAAAGCCATGACAATTGATTGGAGAAGTGGGGGATTGGTTCCTTTGGAGGAGGTTCACACGTGAGTTCACAACATCTCGCAATGGCTTGGGCAGAGTAGACGGGATGAAAACATTCCCCTTCACAAGGGGGGGGGAGAATCGAGAAGCGGACGGCGCAGGTTTAAAGCAGCAAATACGAGGCAAGAAAATAAATGTTCACACAGCGAGCGTGAGGCAGAGTCAATGGTGGTTAGTTAAAAGGCAAGAGTGCGCAGGGTTGTGAGAAAATGGCAGGAGATTGGCACTAACACTCATTCAGAGTGCTGGTGCGAACAGATGGGCTGAAGCTGCATTGTAACAATTCTGTGATCTTATTGGCAAATATAAAATCCTGAGGGGGCTGGACAGGAAGAATGCTAAGGGGCATTTCCCCTGGTCTGAGAGACTCGGTGACAATGAGAATTCTGGATTTCACTGTTAATGGTAAGGTCCTGGGGAGTGTTGCTGAACAGAATGACCTGGGGTTGAGGGTTCATAGTTCCTTGAAAGCGGAGTCACAGGTAGACAGGGTAGTGAAGAAGGTGTTTGGTACGCTTGCCTTTATTGGTCAGTGCATTGAGTATAGGAGTTGGGAGGTCATGTTGCGGCTGTACAAGACATTAGTTAGGCCACTTTGGGAATGCTGCATTCAATTCTTGTCTCCCTGCCATGGGAAGGATGTTGTGAAACTTGAAAGGGTTCAGAAAACATTTACACGGATTATGGAGGCTTTGCGCTATAGGGAGAGGCTGAATAGAATGGGGATATTTTCTCTGGAGCATCAGAGGCCGAGGGGTGACCTCATAGAGGTTTACAAAATCATGAGGGGCAAGGATAGGGTGAACAGCGGTAAGGTTTTAGTTTAAAACGTCTCGCCACCCTGCTTCAGTCACCTCTCTTCTCGCTTGCTGCAACGCTGCTAATAAAAAAAAAACCCTCTCCATAACGACCGGTAGCCCCCCCAATACCATATCCTCACCGCCCCTCCCTGTATAAGGAGCATCTACAGCTCCAGGATGCAACTGAGAAACATAGAAAATGGGGAGCAGGAGTAGGCTTCTCGGTCCTTCGAGCCTGCCCTGCCAATCAACAAGTCAATCTCAAGTTTTCGAGAAGATTTGTAGCTCGGGTTGTAGAGGAAGTTGTAGACGGCTTAGCGAGCATGTCTACAACCTCAACAGGTTGACCATCCAACTCAGTCCCCTATTCCTGCTTTGAGTGACCCCTTCGATCCCTGTGGAGCTACAATCCAATTCCTTCCCGAAAACATTCAGTCTTTCGGCCCTGACCGCTCTCTGCGGCAGAGAATTCCACAGGCTCCCCCGCTCTCTGGGTTGAAGACTTCTCCTCATCTTGGGCCCAAGGTTTAAGAAGACAGCCACACAGTTTTCTGCACGTTCGCACAATATGGAGACATTCCCCTTTCAGTAGGAAAGAAGACGAATTATACTAAGAGAAAAGACTGAGCGGAGCTTTGACCCAGATGGGGCAGTTGGCAGCGATGGAAGGGAAACGGTTGTTCCCCCCCACGACAACAACAACCCCCCACCCTCCCAAGACCCGCTGCAGATTCCAGTCAAGCGACTAACCAAAAAGAAAATGGAATCTGGGATCTGCCTCAATCCAGAATATGGCTCCAACAGCGTCTTATACAACAACTAGGGGGAGAAGTGGGGGGTGGGGTGGGGAGGGAAATTGGTTGGGGAGGGGAAGGTGGGGGGGCTCCAAACCCTTTGCGAAATTCGTGAAGACCGCCTGGGTCCCAGCGTTTCCTGAAATGAGAGTGTCAGGGTGGGGGGGGGGGGGATAGGGAAGGAGAAAGGAAGACCAGTTAGGAAGATGGGCGGAACTAGGCAACAACAAAAAAAGACTGCATTTTCCTGGCGCCCCCACCAAAGCACCACCGACGCATCCAATTCAGCGTTCCACAGGCTCAGTCGAAGCTACGTTGCCAGCGAACAGGACAAAGATCAACTAATCAGCCAGGGTACACATGCAGCGATGAATGGCATTTGGGCATCCACTGTAGTGGCATCACATCACTACGCATCATATCCGCCCACTGAGCTGGCCAGTAGGTAGGAGGGGACAACCTGGGTGTGGCTGGACAATGTATGCGATAGAGGAGGGGAGGGTAAGTTCACTCGCTGCAACGAGACCTGGGTGTCTTTGTTCCAAACATATTTACATTGTGGACCCTCTAATCCTTGTCCTCCTAAGGGACAGAGGTCCCGGGTTTGGAAGGTGCTGTCTAAGGAGCCTTGGGGGAGTCATTGTAGGCGGTACACACTGCTGCGACTGAGCATCGGTGGCGGAGGGAATGGGTGCTTGTGGATGTGGTGCCAATCCGGGGGGCGGGGGGATGCTTTGTCCCTGGATGGTATCGAGCTTCTCGAGCGTTGTTGGAGCTGCCCCCAACCAGGGCAAGTTGAGGTGGGGTGGGGGGGGAGTATTCCCTCACACTCCTGCCTTGTCGATAGTGAGATAGGCGCGTGTGTGTGTGAGTGTGAGTGTGTGTGAGTGTGAGAGTGTGAGAGAGAGAGAGAGAGTGTGAGTGAGTGAGTGAGTGAGTGAGTGAGTGAGTGAGTGTGTGTGTGAGAGAGAGAGAGAGAGAGTGTGTGTGAGTGTGTGTGAGGGAGTATACGTGAGAGTGAGAGTGTGTGTGTGTGTGTGAGAGAGAGAGTGTGTGTGTGAGAGAGTGTACGTGAGAGTGAATGTGTGTGTGTGTGAGAGAGAGAGTGTGTGTGAGAGTGTGTGTGTGAGTGTGTGTGTGTGTGAGTGTGTGTGTGAGTGTGTGTGTGAGTGTGTGTGAGAGAGAGAGTGTGTGAGAGAGAGAGAGAGAGAGTGAGTGTGTGTGAGTGTGTGTGACAGAGAGAGAGAGAGTGTGTGTGTGTGTGAGACAGAGAGAGAGAGAGAGAGTGAGAGTGTGTGTGTGTGTGTGTGTGTGTGTGTGTGTGTGTGAGAGTGAGAGTGTGTGTGAGTGTGCGTGTGAGAGTGTGAGTGGATGTGCGTGTGCGTGTGAGTGTGCGTGTGAGAGTGTGAGTGGATGTGCGTGTGCGTGTGCGTGTGCGTGTGCGGGGTCAGGAGGGGAAATACTCGCTGCAGGATTCCCAGCCTCTGACTTGTTTTTGTAGCCATTGTATTTATACAACTGGTATAGTTCTCAGTTTCTGGTTAATGGTAACCCCCAGGATGTTGACAGTGCAGGGGGGGATTCAGTGACGATAACACCACTGGATGTCAAAGGGCAATGGTTAGATTCCCTTTCAATGGTAACCCCCAGGATGTTGATAGTGGGGAGATTCAGTGATGGTAACACCACTGATTGTCAAGGGGACGATGGTTACATCCTCTCTCAATGGTAACCCCCAGGATGTTGATGTGGGGTGGGGAATTCAGTGATGGTAACACCATTGAACATCAAGGGCTGGTGGTTGGATTCTCTCTTGAGATGGTCACTGCCTGGCATTTGCATGGCGTCAATGTTCTCTACCATTTGTCAGCTCAGGCATGTGGGCACAGACTGCTTCAATGTTTAAACAGTTGAAAAGTGGTCTGAGTAACATTCAGAACTTCTGATGGAGTGACACTCGATGATGAAGCAGCTAAGATGGTCGGACAGAAAAGCTCTTGCTTTGTATGAGCCATGGCTCCCATCAACTGGAACATTCTCCCTGAATTCCTGTGCACCAGGAATGGAGGCCTATCCTGGAGGGCCTGGTAATAACATACTACAAATTGGCACCGCAAAGGGAACACCATCCCCCCCGATGCAAACCTCCACACAACTCCTTAAAACGGTGCTGGTTCCGAGTGGGATTTACCTGCTTCACATGTGACCCATGGGGTTGGGGGAATCTCCAATTCCCTGATGAACCACCAGATGCGTGGATGTGGATTCGCCATTGGAAATCTTCTCTTCCTCTCTTCGCTTCAGGCAGGCAGCTTTTGGGTTCAGATTCCTCTCTGTGACGGAGGGCAAAGCCAACAGTGAGACTTTCCTTCCCCCTGCATAATGCCCCCGCCACCCACCCCAGCTGACTTCCTGTCAAGCATTACCTGAACCAATTGAGACCTCATTGTGGAAGAAGGAAATTGGTGAACAGGAGAGGGACCATGGGATCGGTCACAACAGGGACAGTTTGTGCAGGAAGGACAATAAAAAGAAAGGGGAAGGCAGGACATTCCCATTGCCTGAAACCTCTACCACCCCCAACTATCAACATCCTAGGGGCTACCATTGACAGGAAATCTAATCATTCCCCCATCACACTCAATGGCATTATCATCATTGATTTCCCCCACTATCCTGGGGGTTATCACTGACCAGAAACTGAACTGGACCCAGCCATATCAATACAAGGGCTACAACAGCAGGTCAGATACTGGGAATCCTGCAGTGAGTAACTCCCCTCCTGACTCCCCCCAAAGCCTTAGATCATGATCATAGAATCCCTACAGTGTGGAAACAGGCCCTTCGGCCCAACAAGTCCACACTGACCTTCAGAGCATCCCACCCAGACCCATCCCCCTAATCTACACATCCGTGAACACTATGGGCAATTTAGCACGGCCAATCCACCCTAACCTGCACATCTTTGGGCTGTGGGAGGAAACCGGAGCACCTGGAGGAAATCAACGCAGACACGGGGAGAATGTGCAAACTCCACACAGTCGCCCGAGGGTGGAATCGAACCTGGGACTCTGGCACTGTGAGGCAGCAGTGAGCCACTGTGCCGCCCAAAAATTGACAAGGCACACATCAGGAGTGCGAGGGAATACCCCCCACTTGCCTTGGATGGGGGAAGCTCCGACAACACTTGAGAAACTGAACACCGTCCAGGGACAAAGCAGCACCCCCTTGGATTGGCACTACATCCACAAGCACCCACTCCTTCCACCATCGACGCTCAGTCGCAGCAGTGTGTACCATCTACAGCAACTCCCCAAGGCTCCTCAGACAGCACCTTCCAAACACGTGAATTGTACCCTCTAGAAGGACAGGGGCAGCAAATACATGGGAACACCACCCCCTGCAAGTTCCCCACCAAGCCACTCACCATCCTGACCTGGAAATACATCGGCCATTCCTTCATTTTCGATGGATCAAAATCCTGGAATGGTCTCCCTAATGCCACCGTGCCACCACAAGGGAGCCTGCAGCAGTTCAAGATGGTGGCTCACCCCCCTCTTTCTCAAGGGGCAATTAGGGATGGGCAATAAATGCTCACCCAGCCACTGACCCCCACATCCCACAAACATGCTTACCCTGGCTGCCAAGGACTGAGCTACAGTTAAAACCCACAGGGTTTGTGCTATAGGGAGGGGTTGAATAAGCTGGGGCTATTTTCCCTGGAGCGTCGGAGGCTGAGGGGGTGACCTTATAGAGGCTTATAAAACCATGAGGGGCATGGATAGGGTGAATAGCCAAGGTCTTTTCCCCCAGGGTAGGGGAGTCCAAAACTAGAGGGGCATAGGTTTAAGGTGAGAGGGAAAAGATTTAAAAGGGACCTGAGGGGCAACTTTTTCACAGAGGGTGGTGAGAGTATGGAACGAGCTGCCAGAAGAAGTGGAGGAGGCTGGTACAATTACAATATTTAAAAGGCATCTGGATGGGTAGAGGAAGGGTTTAGAGGGATATGGGCTAAATGCTGGCAAATGGGACTAGATGAATTTAGGATATTTGGTCAGCATGGACGAGTTGCATGAAGGGTCTGTTCAGTCTGTGACTCACAAGGCAAGGGAGTACACAGTGAATGTTAGGACTCTGGGAAATAGAGAATTAGAGGGAACTTGATGTACGTGTCCATAGATCCTTGAAGGTAGCAGGAGAGGTTGAGAAGATGGCTAAGGAGGGATATGGGGAACTTGCCTTGATCAGTCGCGGTTTTGAATACAAAGGGAAATGAGGTTATGATGGAGCTGTATATAACCTTAACTAGACAACAGCTGGAGTACAGTGTGCAGTTCTGGTCCCCACACTGTAGGAGGTATGTGATAGTGCTGAAGAAGGTTCAGAGGAATTTAACCAGGATGTTGCCTGGGCTGGAGTGATTCAGCGATGGAGAGAGACCAGAGAGGCTGGGGTTGTTTTCCTTCGAGCAGAGAGGGTGTATACAAAATTATGAGGGGCATTGACACAGTCGATAGGGAGAAGCTTTTCCCCTCAGTAGACAAGTCAATAGCCGAGCCAGAAGACTCGTGGAGATTTAAGACGGGGTGCGGGAGGTTGAGAGGGGATTTGAGGAAAGATTTTTCACCCAGAGGGCGTGGAGGTATCTGGAACCCACAGCTGAAAGGGTGCTAGAGCCAGGAACCCTCAATGCCTGGTTCGGCCACATCTGGAGTATTGTGTCCAGTTCTGGTCGCCTCATTACAGGAAAGATGTGGAAGCATTGGAAAAGGTGCAGTGGAGATTTACCAGGATGTTGCCTGGAATGGAGGGAAGGTCTTACGAGGAAAGGTTGAGAGAGATAGGGCTTTTCTCTTCAGAACGACGAAGGATGAGAGGTGACTTGTTAGAGGTGTACAAAATGATCAGAGGTAAAGATAGAGTAGACAGGCAGAGACTTCTTCCGATGGTGGAGGTAGCTATTTCAAGGGGGCATAGTTTTAAAGTGAGTGGAGGTAGATATAGGTGAGATGTCAGAGGTAGGTCCTTTACTCAGAGAGTGGTAGGGGCGTGGAATTCATTGCCGGAGAGGGTAGTGGAGTCGGCCTCATTAGGGGCATTTAAGCAGCTATTAGATAGGCATATGGATGATAGTATAAGGTAGGGGTGGAGGCTAGATAGACTTTAGGATTAGGGTAAAAGTTCAGCACAACATCGTGGGCCGAAGGGCCTGTACTGTGCTGTACTGTTCTATGACATTGAAGTGGTACGTAGAGGAGCACTTGGAATGCTATAATGTACTAGGCTACAGTCCAAGTGCTGGGAAAAGGAACTAGAATGGATAGGTGCTTGATGACCAGTGCAGAAATGATGGGCTGAAGGGCCTCTTTCCATACTATGAACAGTCTCCAACATAGCTAATTTAATCAGTCCGATTCAGGCATACCTCCAGAGCAGAGTGGGACTAGAACCCGGGTCTTCTAGCCCAGAGGTAGGGACAATACAATTGTACCACAAGTCTCCTCTCCATTGTCAGATGAACACAAGAAACCTTTGCTCAGTGTTACCCAAGAGTCCCAGACCAGCCTGGATAAAGATGGCAGATTCCCTTTGTTGAGATCCGAACACCTCACCTCAGAGTCCGAGGCACACTTAGCTCCAAAGAGGGCCATTTGGCCTGTTGTGTCCATGCCAGCCCACAAAGCTCTGAATTCATTCATTTTTTCCAGCTCTCGAGCCCACAGCCCATTGCTATAGCAATGCCAGTCAATGCTGCCCACATATTTGAGAGTTTGTGACTCATCCATCATTTCAGGCAGTGCATTCCAGACTCCCACCACCCCTCTTAGGTGAGAAACATTCTCCTCAACCCTCCTATGTCTTACCCTAAATCCATGCCCCCTGGTTATTGACCCTTCTACGAATGGAATAAGTGCCCTATCTACGTCCCTCACCATCTTATACAACCCAGGTTCCCTCCCAACCTTCACTGCTCCGAGGAAAACAAACCCAGTCCATCCCATATATAACACAGTGTGGAGCTGGAGGAACACAGCAGGCCAGGCAGCGTCAGAGGAGCGGGAGAGTTGATGCTTCTGAAGAAGGGTCCCGACCCAAAACATCAACAGTCCTGCTTCTCTTGCTGCCTGGCCTGCAGTGTTCCTCCAGCTCCGCACTGCGTTATCGGTGACTCCAGCATCTGCAGTTCTTACTACCTCTCAGTCTATCCCATCTTAGCTGAGAACCTCCATCCCATGCAACATCCTGGTGAATTTCCCCTGCACCCTCTCTAGTGCAATCACATATATCTTTTGCAAAGCACAGTGAGCAGAACCGCATGTAATACTCTAGGGGTGATGTAACCAATGTTTCCTACAGTTCCCAACATCATCTCCCAATCCCTGCACGGGCTAACCAATGTATCAACGGGACTGAGTTGGAGATGTTCGAGAGCGTCCATTTCCTGGGAGTGATGGTCTGCACATGTTGGGCGCAACGGTCAAGAAAGCACCACAGGAGGCTAAGGAAATTCGGCATGCCCACCAATTTTTATAGGTGCACCATAGAAAGCATCCCATCTGAATGCATCATGGACCGGTATGGAAACTACTCTTCCCAAGACCGTAAGAAACTACATAGAGTTGTGCAAACGCAGCCCAGTCCATCAGCCTTCCATCCAATGACTCAGTCTCCACTTCCCGCTGCCCCAGGAAGGCAAAGACCAACCCCACCCCCCCTAGTTATAGTCTCTTCCATCGGGCAGAAAATGTAAAAGTTTGTACACACATACAAACAGATTCAAGAACAGCTTCTTCCTGAAGAAGTTTTCTGAAGAAGGGTCCAGGCCCGAAACTTCAGCCTTCCTGATCCTTTGATGCTGCTGGGCCTGCTGTGTTCATCCAGCTCTATACCTTGTTATCTCAGCTTCTTCCCCGCTGTTATCAGACTTCAGAGCAGCCCTATGGTCTGGGAAGACAATGGTGTCTTGACTTGACCATTGCTGTACACAAAACAGAAATTGCCTGGAAAAGCTCAGCAGGTCTGGCAGCCTCTGCAAAGGAAGAAACAGAGTTAACGATTCGGGTCCGGTGACCCTTCCCTGAGACCATCGCTGTGCCCAGTGCTGCCCTCCCGGTCTGCGGCCCCACCACGCCACCCGCGAGCCACCTACCTCTCACTTGTTGCTCTAGCCCGAGGATGACGGAGACGGCCTGGTGGAGGATGAGGAGCTTGGTCTGCGGCTTGTCGTTCTTCATGTGGAGCTGACACATACGGCCCAGCTCCTTGAAGGCTTCGTTGATGTCGCGCACGCGGAGACGCTCCCGCGCGTTGTTCGCCATGCGCCGGTCCTTCTCCCGCTCGGCTTTCTGACCCGGGTTCAGCTCGTCGTCCTCGTGGTTACTGAAACGGGCGGCAGAGGTCAGTTCAGCGGGCAAACCAATGGCCACCCGCGTTGGGAGGGAGGGAGGGAGGGGACGGAGACGAATGGTTGAGGAACCCGCAACGTGACCGGGACACCGCGGAGTCACACGGCATGGAAACGGAACTTTTTGGCCCAATTCGCCCAGAAGGCAAACAGTAGGCCAGCCTCCACGGCGAGAGGTGTCGGATCCAGGAGCAGGGATGTAGAATCACGGAACCCCGACAGCGTGGAAGCAGGCCATTCGGCCCATCGAGTCCACACTGACCCTAGGAAGGGCACACCACCCAGACCCACCCTCCTACCCAATCCCTGTGACCCTGCATTTCACACAGCCAATCCACCCTAACCTGCACATCCCTGGGCACTACAGGGCAATTTAGCACGGCCAATCCACCCTAACCCGCAGATCCCTGGGCACTACGGGACAATTTAGCACGGCCAATCCACCCTAAC